AAATAAAATCAAAGGAAAGACAAACACAATGGCAAATACAGATGCTAACATATCAATACTAACTCTAAATGTAAATGGACTAAACTCTTCAATAAAAAGACACAGAGTCTCAGGCTGGATTAAGAAACAAAACCCAACCTTTTGCTGTCTCCAGGAAACACATTTAGCTGCAAAAGATAAAAATAGACTCAAAGTTAAAGGATGGAAAACAATTCTACAAGAAAATGGACCAAAAAAGAAGGCAGGAACAGATATACTCATATCAGATAAAACAGATTTCAAACTCAAAAAGATAAAAAGAGACCCCAGTGGTCATTACATTATGATCAAGGGGACAATACTTCAAGAAGAAATAACACTCATTAACATATATTCACCAAACGAAGGAGCACCAAAATATATCAGACAACTATTGGCATCTCTGAAAACAGACATCAGAGAAAACACATACGTAGTGGGAGACTTCAACACACCACTATCAACAATGGATAGATCAACAAGACAAAAAATAAGTAAAGACACTAAAGCTCTAAATAAGGATCTAGAGCGCTTGGGCTTAACAGACATCTATAGAACACTAAACCCAAAAAAATCTGAGTATACATTTTTCTCAAGCACACACGGATCATTCTCCAGGATCGATCACATACTGGGGCACAAGACAAACATCAACAGATACACCAAGATTGAAATCATACCAACCATCTTTTCTGACCATGAAGGCATCAAACTAGAAATAAACCATAAAAAGAAGGCAAGGTACTCTCCTAACTCATGGAGATTGAAACCCACACTACTGGAAGTCCACTGGACTAACAAGGAGATCAAAGAAGAAATTAAAAAATTCTTTGAATTGAATGACAAGGAGGACACCAATTTCCTAAATGTATGGGATGCAGCAAAAGCAGTAATAAGAGGAAAATATACAGCAATAGATGCTCACATCAAGAAACAAGAAAGAACTCAAAGAAACAACCTAATCTCGAAGCTCAAAGATCTAGAAAAAGAACAACAAAAAAACCCCAAAACCAGTAGAAGAAAAGAAATAATAAAAACCAAAGCAGAAATAAATGAAATTGAAACTAAAAAAACATCCAAAAGATCAATGAAACCAAGAGCTGGTTCTTCGAAAAAATAAATAAAATAAATAGATAAACCCCTAGCCAGGCTCACAAGGGAAAAAAGGGAGAAAGCACAAATAAACAGGATCATAAATGAAAGAGGAGAAATCACAACGGACACAGCAGAAATCAAAAGAATAATTAATAACTACTATGAACAGTCATATGGAAACAAGTTCAACAATCTAGAGGAGATGGACAAATTCCTACAACTCTACAATCACCCAAAGCTAGATAAAGAAGAAATAGAACACCTAAACAGACCAATTACAAGCAGCAAAATTGAAATGGTAATCAAAAACCTCCCCAAAAACAAAAGCCCAGGACCTGATGGATTTACAAATGAATTCTACCAAACATTCAGAGACGAATTGGTTCCTATCCTTCACAAACTCTTCCAAAAAATTGAGAAGGAAGGGATAATACCTAACACGTTCTATGAAGCCAACATTACACTAATACCAAAACCGAACAAGGACAACACACAAAAAGAAAACTATAGGCCAATCTCCCTAATGAACACTGATGCAAAAATCCTCAATAAAATTTTAGCTATCAGAATCCAACAGTGTATCCATAAGATAATTCACCACGACCAAGTAGGATTCATTCCAGGGACACAAGGATGGTTCAACATCCGAAAATCAATCAACGTTATCCAACACATCAACAAAAAGAAATATAAAAACCATATGATAATATCAATAGATGCTGAGAAAGCTTTCGACAAAGTGCAACACCCATTCATGATAAATTCTTGGGATACAAGGAACATACCTCAACATCATAAAGGCCATATATGACAAGCCAACAGCCAGTATCATTCTCAGTGGTGAAAAGCTGAAAGCATTTCCATTAAGATCTGGAACAAGACAAGGATGTCCACTCTCACCACTGCTTTTCAATATAATACTGGAAGTCCTAGCCAGAGCAATAAGACAAGAGAAAGACATACAAGGAATCCAAATAGGAAAAGAAGAAGTCAAATTATCACTATTTGCATGATATGATAATATACATAGGGAACCCCAAAAACTCCATAGAAAAACTAATTAAACTCATCAATCAGTTCAGCAAAGTGGCAGGATACAAAATCGACACGCAAAAGTCAGTAGCCTTCCTATACACTAACAATAAATCTGAAGAAGAAGAAATGAAGAAAATCATCCCCTTTATTATCGAAACAAAAAAAAAAAATCAAATACTTGGGAATAAATCTAACAGAAGAGGTAAAGTATCTTTACAAAGAAAACTATAAAACACTGTTAAAAGAAATAGAAGAAGATACAAAGAAATGGAAAGACATCCCCTGCTCATGGATTGGAAGAATAAACATTATTAAAATGGCCATCCTACCAAAAGCAATATACAGATTCAATGCTATTCCAATAAAAATTTCAATGTCATTCTTCAAAGAAATAGAACAATTATTGATGACATTCATATGGAATCACCAAAAACCCCGAATAGCCAAAGCTCTCCTGAAAAAAAAAGGAGGGAATGGAGGCATCACACTCCCAGATTTCAAACTATACTACAAAGCCATAATCATCAAAACTGCATGGTATTGGAACAAGAACAGACACACAGACCAATGGAATCGAATAGAAAATCCAGAAATAAACCCACAGATTTATGGTCAACTAATCTTTGACAAAGGAGCAAAGAATATGCATTGGAGCAAAGAAAGTTTGTTCAATAAATGGTGCTGGGAAAACTGGGTCACTACATGCAAAAGAATGAAGCTTGACCACTACCTCACACCATACACAAAAACCAACTCAAAATGGATTAAAGAACTAGACATAAAACCTGAAACCATAAAATACATAGAAGGAAAAATAGGCGAAACACTACAGGATATGCACATCAAAGACATCTTTACAGACACATCACCCAAAGCAGTGATAGTGAAGGCAATGATAAACAGCTGGGACTACATCAAATTAAAGAGCTTCTGCACAGCAAAAGAGACAATAACAAAAACTAAAAGAAACCCCACCTACTGGGAGAACATTTTTGCACACAACACTAATGATAAAGGACTGATCACAAAAATCTGCAAAGAGCTGATGAGACTCAACAACAACAAAGAAAATAATCCAGTCAAAAAATGGGCACAAGAGCTAAAAAGAAACTTCTCTGAAGAGGAAATGCAAATGGCCAACAGGCATATGAAAAAATGCTCACCATCACTTGTAATCAGGGAAATGCAAATCAAAACTACCATGAGATACCATCTAACACCAGTGAGAATGGCACATATTAAAAAAACTAGCAACAACAAATGTTGGCGAGGTTGTGGAGAAAAAGGAACTCTCCTGCACTGTTGGTGGGAGTGCAAACTGGTCCAACCACTGTGGAGAGCTGTGTGGAGATTTCTTGACCTACTAAACATAGAGCTTCCATATGATCCAGCAATTCCACTCCTAGGTATTTACCCAAAGGACACAGAATCATCAACTCCAAAGAGCACCTGCACCCCTATGTTTATAGCAGCACTATTTACAATAGCTAAGCTTTGGAAACAGCCCAAATGCTCAAAAATAGATGACTGGATCAAGAAGATGTGGTACATATACACCATGGAATATTACTCAGCATTCAAAAAAGATAAACACATGCAATTTGCAGCAACATGGATGGCACTGGAAGGGATTATGCTCAGCGAAATAAGCCAGAAAGAAAAAGAAAAATATCGGATGGTCTCACTCATAGCAGGAATCTATAAAACTTAAATAAGGGACCAGGAAAATGAATAACTATAAGAAAGTGAAAATCATAATGAACAAACAACTATGAAACAGAGACACTTTATGAGGGGAGGGGGGCGGGGGGAGGGATTGGTGTCAAAATAAAGGGGTTGCAATTGTTTGGGGAATATAAAAATAAAAATAAATAAATAAATAAAAATGAAAATAATAAATAAATAAATGTCTCACGAAATCATCTTTGTATGTAAGCCAAGTGAAATAAAGAGAAAAAGGCCATCTGTAATAAGTGGTAGCGAACAGTCCTCACACTCCTCCCTTTTCCTGCTCGCCCCACATCTGGGCAACCTGATAAAAGAAAGTCTGCTCACACCCCTAGGCCCGTCCACAGCCCCATGATACTCGCTTGTAATTTCAAACCGTCAAGACCAGCCTGAGCATGGAAATTCTACCTGTCTCACCACCTAACTACAATAAAAACCTAAAGTCCTTCCTTATGCCTTTATAATCTCACCAAACCAGGGCCCTTGTCCTTGGGCAAACCCGTCTGCTGTTGCCTACTGTGAGTCACAAGTCCTATTTCACATCCATTGGCATCCAAGCCACATTTGTCCCAAACTCCATAATTCCTGGGGGTTGGGGGACAGTGTCTGTCCAGGGGTGCCAGACAGCACAAATAGAACATCAACGGATGAATTGTGCATAATGATTTCACAGAATCACTTGCCAAGGTGCAGAAGACTCTAGTCTCTAGGAAATCTTCTAAAGACCAAGAGAATGGCACACTTTCATTCATATTCATATACTAAAGCAAATGTCTAAAAGAAAAGTTGATAATTCACACATTAAATTTAAAGGGAAAATGAGTGGAATGCTGTAAACCTAGCTTCACTTTTAATTTTATTTTTATTATTTTAACAGAAATATTCAAAATGCTTTCCCAGACCAATAACAAACCCTAGAAAACTGACTGTGAAATTGAGGTTACAAGATGAGGAAGGGAGCACCGTGGACTAGGGTATGATGACATGATCCTGTACCTTTGAATCACATACAGTCAAAAACCAATGTTACATTTAAAAGAATACAGTTGGAAGGAGGAAAAAAAAAGTTTTCTTATATCTAAAACTATGCATTAAAACTCTATACACAGAACCCCAGCTCTTACCCAAACGGCACTCCGAGGGCACCCAAGGGAGTCACCAGGACTGTGGGGACCGCCGTGTAAGCCAGGAAGTTTCCAATCTGGCCAACAGCCACTGTTGAGAGAACCACAAAGGTATTGCTTGCAGCTACACAGTTCTCTTTTGGCCCTGATCACACAGTTGGTTTGGCAAGGCCCTGCTCAAAGAGCTGGTTCTTTTCCATTACTTGTGAGGAAGGAAATATGGGGCACTATTTGCATGTTTAAGGGTCTTTAGGCAGGGAACAGCAGGCCCCACAGCTTCCCTGGACCAACTGGCTGAGGGAGTAGTTTCAATTCTCTGTGGAAATTGCCAATTTGGGAATTGGCCACCCCCAGATGTGTCAAGGTAACATATGGATTATTCTGAAAAAGAAAGTCAACCAACAAATGATATCATAAGTGATACTTTTTCCTAAAAGCTGGAATTTTCTCTGATCCTCCTCCTCCTCTGATTCCCCCTAAAAGCAGGAAATGACTCTCTAAGTGAAAGGTGCCCTCCCTGCATAGAGACAGAAAACACCCTTATTATCAGAGGCAGAGACTGGAAGTTGTGTAAACAAGTGCTGCTAAGCTAATTAAGATCTCCAACCAAAACTCTCAAGAATGTCTTTGTTCTGTGTTCTTCTAGATACAAACCAGCTGCTTTGGTCACTCACAAGGCTCCATGCTTTATGGGCCTCCATGAACACACAATTAAATTTGTCTTTTCTCTTGTTAATATTTATCTTATTATTTAGCCAGTCAAAGGCACCAAAAGCGGTGAGAAGGGAATTTCCCTGAAAATTTCTCCTACACCAGCAACGACTGGCAGTGGGTGTCATACAGAATGTGCTTACACTCTCCTTAACACATCATGGTTTCAAGTCGGTTCATGGAGAGCTGCCCATATCCACTCGCAGGTCAGGGACCAGCTCCAGTGGCTGCTGGGGCCACAGAGACACACTGCTGGCCACTAAGTGTGAGTGAGCATGCCTACCTGGCAGGCTGCACAAAGAGCCAGTTTCAGTTAACATTGACTAGATCATTTCTTGCTTCTGAGATCTGTGACCAATAAACCTCAGGGTATTGCTGAAATGCATACAATTTTTCTTTAAAATTCTGAACTCGGGCCTCCCCTGGTGGTGCAGTGGTTGAGCGCTGGGCTGCGAGCTGCCCGCCATCTCTGCCACTCCGGTTCAATCCCCGGCCGCCGGCGAGGGTCCCACATGGCGCGCAGACCATTCCTGCAGTGCCCGCTGCTCCCCTCAGCAATGTATTTCGTCGGTCTGCCTGTTCTGTTCTCCGCTCTGGCTCTGGTGAATTCTCTCGCCCTCCCGAGCTTCTGACTGTACCCAGTGCTTATATAAATAAATCTTCAAAAAATAAAATAAAAAAAGCCAACAGCCCAACCACTGATGAGTAAGCAACGACTTTTCTCATTCTTCTGGGCCAGGACCCTGTGACCCGGATGGAATTCAGGCCTAAATCACAGACAACAAGAGCCTCTGCTCCTCCCTCCCACTTCTCCGTCCACTGCCTCTGCCCTCCTGGTCCTCATTCCAAAGAATGAAGCCAAACTCATCACACCCACCTCCCCCTCCGCCAGACTGTTGACTGATCTCAACAAAGACAGAAGACAGGAAGACCAGACTTACTTGCAATTGTGCCTGCCCACCAGACAATGTCTGTTAAATAGGAGGTACCTATGAAAGAAGAGATAAAAATGTCAGGAAAGCATGGAGCAAGAGGTTTACAAGTTACTTACATAACACAGGACTTTTTTACATGAAAACCAAAATTGAAAATAATGAATGCCAGGCTTCCCTAGGTGGCGCAAGGGATTAAGCACCGCACTATGAAGCAATCTGTGGCCTCTGCAGCACAAGTTTGATACCCAGCTGGACAGGGAGCAACCCACATGGTGAGGCAGACCTCTCCTGACTCGCCCACTGCTCCCCTCAGCAGTGTGTTTCAGTCAGTCTGCCTGTTCTGTTCCCTACTCTGTCTCTGGTGAATCCTTTCACCCCTCATACCTCTGGCCTGTACCCCAATTCCTATATGCATGCATAAATAAATCTTTTTTAAATAAGAAAATAATGAATGCCACACTATGTATTCACCTTACAAAGAATGTTTCAATTAGTCTATACATAGCAGTATGTGAAGCCCTAAAGTTTTTTTTTTTTTTTTTAAAGATTTATTTATTTTATTTATACAAGCACTGGGTACAGTCAGAAGCGCGGGAGGGTGAGAGAATTCACCAGAGCCAGAGCGGGGAGCAGAGCAGGCAAAAGGACCAAAGTACACTGCTGAGGGGAGCAGCCGGGGATCAAACCAGCACTGCAGAGGCTGCGGGCAGCTTCTCAACCCAGCGCTCAACCGCTGCGCCACCGGGGAGGCCCAGCCCTGAAGTTTTGTATGTAGTTTCAAATGAGATTTGGTCTTCACAGTCCAGTTCTCTCCTACAGTCACTATGATCCATTTTTATAATACTGTTTTTTTTCTTTAAAGATTTATGTATTTACGCATACAAGAGCTGGGGTACAGGCCACAGATGCGAGGGGTGAGAGGATCCACCAGAGTCAGATTGGGGAACAGAACAGGCAGACTGACAGAAATACACTGCTGAGGGGAGCAGCGGACAGGACAAGAGAGGTCTGCCTTGCCTCCTGTCCAGACGGGGATTGAAGTCGTGCTGCAGAGGCCACAGATTGCTGTGGATTGCTTCATAGTGGGGTGCTTAATCCCTTGCAGCACCAGGGAGACCCCATTTTTATGATAATGTTATTAGCCTAGGGTTGAATGATTTGCTGTTGAAACAGATTAAATCTCCATGATGTAGACGCCTTCTGAAATGGTTCTTTTGGCAACTGAAAATAGTAGAAAGCAGACACTTACCCTCACAAAATGCTGTGACACTGGACAGAGGCCTTCCCTCGAGCTCCTCTGGGTTACCCTCATAGGTCCCTAGGGACAGGCAGCTACCCAGGCCTCCCCATCATATCTAGCCCTCCCCCTGCCTGCATGACAGGCACCTGTGGGGAGAATGTTCACAAGCTGTGAGGCACACTTTCATTCCTTTTTAGATATAAGAAAATGCACCTTTTCTGACCAGGAAGTGTTTTGGGGACCCTCACCTTTTAAGCCATATCCCTCTGCTTGTAGGTATACTAAAAAGTCATATTTTCTGGGCCTCCCTGTTGGCGCAAGGGGTAGAGTCTCAGCACTATGATGCTATCCGTGGCCACTGCAGCATGAGTTTGATTCCCGGCCAGGGAGCTGACCCATATGGCACAGCAGACCTCTCCTGTCACCCACTGCTCCCCTCAGCAGTGTATTTCAGTCAATCTGCCTGTTCTGCTCCCCACTCTGTGTGTGGTGAATCCTCTCACTCCCACACCTCTGGCCTACACTGCAATTCTTGTATGCATAAATAAATAAATCTTTAAAAAAAAAACAAGGCTGGATACCTGCCCTTCAGGTTGTGGTTGTAGACCAAAGGGAAGTTCCTCTGCGTAGTCCCGCAGGGCCTCAGTCCAGTAACCTCCCCTGTGCTCTGCCTGATGGAGGTCGGGGTCCTGCCCATCCAGCCTTTCACTGAGCTGGTACCCCAGGTTCCTTCCTCCTGCAGTCAGGAGCACCTGGGAACCTGCATTCCATATTAGTTCTTGAGCCAGCATAGATATTTTTCTCTTAGGTTCTACAACCACTGGCTTTTTCAGTTTTACTCTCAAGCATCACTGTCCACCCAGAGCAACTCAACTGACAACCTCAGGAGGCGCCTGTTCAACTCTATGGTCACGCTCCCTCTCTTCCCAGCTAACGTCTGGACTCTTCAGATCCTCTGTCCTCAGTAAGAAGAGCCTAAGAACTGTAGAGCCTGAAGAAACTGCTTGTTTGACTACACGCCTGCTCTCCCCTCCTCTCCTAGGTGTGGGCTGAAGAGGTAAAAAGAGCTAAGGTCTAGGGTCGTTTTTTCCCTCATATTGGGAATCTTGAATGTTAATCAAGAGTTGAATGGTTGTTTGTAAGAGCTGAACTAGACAAAGAAGTGCTGTGTAGATACAAAAGAGGCTTGTCAGGATGATAATATGAATTGGCAGGGATGCTATCTAACCACAGACCTGTAGTTTTTAAAGCTTCCATTTGGTCATACATGTGCATCATAAATTCTTTAAAATATGACTTCCCAGCACAAAAACACATGCCTTTTTCTAGTTTATTTACTTTTTTTTTTGAAAGTTTTATTTATTTATGCATACAAGAACTGTGGTATAGGCCAGAGGTGTGGTGCCACATGGGTCACCTCCCTAGGCAGGGATCAAAGTTGTGCTGCAGTGGCTCCAGGTAGTGCTTCATAGTGCTGTGTCTTAACCCCTTGCGCCACCAGGGAGGCTCCTACTTTCTGACTATACCACAGAAAAATTACTTTCGGGCATATTTCTATGAGCAACAATAGCGATTACTGCTAAAGGCAAAGCCAGAGTGGCTCACTATGGCCCTACCGCATTAGCTGACTATGTCCCTACCGCATTAGCTGTTGCATTGACTTTATTTATTTTTTTTTTAAGATTTATTTATTTTTTTATACAAGCACTGGGTACAGTCAGAAGCACAGGGAGGTGAGAGAATTCACCAGAGCCAGAGTGGAGAGCAGAACAGGCAGAAGGATCAAAGTATACTGCTGAGGGGAGCAGCAGGCTGCAGGGGGTCTGCGCACCATGTGGGACCCTCCTCCGGTGGCCGGGGAGCAGCTGGGGATCGAATGGGCGCTGCAGAGGCTGCAGGCAGCTTCGCAACCCAGCGCTCAACCGCTGCGCCACCGGGGAGGCCCTGCATTGACTTTAAAAGAGCCAAGCAAGGGCCTCCCCTGGTGGCGCAGCGGTTGAGTGCTGGGTTTCGAGGCTGCTGCGGCGCGCTGGTTCGTTCCCTGGCTGGCGAGGGTCCCACAAAAAAAAAAAAAAAAGAAATAAGAGCCAAGTAAATGATGATAAAATGAAGCTACATTGTAAAAAGGATACTATATTGCTTTTACAGGTTTTTTTTTTTTTAAGATTTATTTAATTTATACAAGAACTGGGGTATAGGCCAGACACGCGGGAAGGTGAGAGAATTCACCAGAGACAGAGCAGAGAGCAGAACAGGCAGACGGAACAAAAACACTGCTGAGAGGAGCAGTGGGCGAGACAGAAGAGGTCTGCCATGCCATGTGGGTATCTCCCTGGCCGGCGAGGGATCGAACCTGTGCTGCAGAGGCTGTGAACAGCTTCACAGCGCTGCTCAACACGCTGCGCCACCGGGGAAGCCCCAGAGTTCTTTAAAAGGGACTAACAATCAAGAAGTTTTCTTTCCCTACAGGACCACGTATTAATAAGACCAATTTAAGCACTGGTATTCACCAACTTATGAATGGATTTAGTACTTGGATTTCTCTAGTACATTGGCTACTAGATTTATTGAACTTATTTTTTTAAAGAAATAGTTTGGTGATCTTAAAAGAGAAGAACAAAGGACTTTATAGGACTTAAATTATCCAATTTTAAGATTTACTATAAATCTACATAATCATCACAGTATGGAACTGGCATAAGGATAGACATAAAATGAAGCAGAACAAAATTCAGAAATAGACCCACACACGTAAGTGAGATGATGGACTTAAATAGCAGTAAAATTCCAAGGGAAATTCTCTTAGCAAATGGTGCTGAAACCAACTGGATATCAACAGGGAAAACACTAAACCATGATTCTTATCTCAGTCATACATAAAACTTAACTCAAGACAGCTTGCCAACTGAAATGTGAAAGCTAAAGCCACAAAATGCCTAGAGGAACACACAGGAGGATGCCACTGTGACCAGAGGAGAGCCAAGGGCTCCTTAGGCAGAGCCAAAAACCACACAACAGAGGGCTTCCCTGGTGGCACAAGGGGTTAAGACGCAACCTATGAAGTTGTCCGCAGCTACTGCATCACTAGTTCAAGCCCCAGCCAGGGATCTACCCACATGGCACAGCAGAACTCTCCTGACTCGCCCACTGCTCCCCTCAGCAGTGTATTTCAGTCAATCCACCTGTTCTATTCCCCACTCTTGTCTCTGGTGAATCCTCTCACCCCCCCACCCCACACCTTTGGCCTGAACCCTAGTTTTTGTATGCATAAATAAATAAATGAACCTTTTTTTTTTAAAGATTACTTATGCATACAAGAGCTGGGGTACAGGCCAGAGGTGGGGGGAAGGGGGGGAGGATTCACCAGAGACAGAGAGGGGCAAGAAAAGTAGACATAAGAAAATATATATGGGGGCCTCCCTGGTGGCGCAGTGGTTGAGCGCTGGGCTGCGAAGCTGCCTGCAGCCTCTGCAGAGCCAGTTCAATCCCTAGACACTGGCAAGGGTCCCACATGGCCCACAGACCTCTCCTGCCGCCCGCTGCTCCCCTCAGCAATGTACTTCGTCAGTCTGCCTTTTCTGTTCCCCGCTCTGGCTCTGGTGAATTCTTTCACCCTCCCGTGCTTCTGACTGTACCCAGTGCTTGTATAAATAAATAAATAAATAAATCTTAAAAAAAAGAAAATATATATGGTAAGATTACATTTATATGAAGCTCAAGAACAGGCAAAACACATTCAATCCAAGCAAATGGACATCAAAAGCATGGACATTCTGGTGTGGGAAGGATAGAATGAAAAAGGAAACAAAGAAATAATCTTTTTTACTGGGGTACTGGTTAGATAAGTATATTGGTTTGTAAAAAACCATCACACTGTACCTTTAAGATCTGTGCAGCTGACACTTTGTATTTATGCTGCAATATTTCAAAAATGAAATTGTTTATGAACAGTTAAACTTCTAGGTTAGCCCACACAACACTGACCATCACACAATAAACCCTGTGATAAACTTTCTCACAGTTTCTATGGGAAATGACATTCTGTGCTTCAAAGAGAAAATAAGAGTCTAATATAAATCAGCATTCTCCATCCTTGCCCCACAGAGCAAGTTATATTCTATGTCCTTCATCTGTTTATCAAATATTTACTGGAACCATCACTGACTGTACAGTGGATGTTTTATACCCTTATGGATACAAAAACTGAAAGGAGGGCGGTCCTTCTCTTCAAGAACATCTTTCTCCTCACCCTAACTGCAGTTTTCTTTTTTTTAAAGATTTATTTATTCATACAAGAGCTGGGGTGCAGGCCAGCAATGCAGTAGGTGAAAGGATTCACCAGAGACAGAGTTGGGAACAGAACAAGCAGATCTACTGAAATACACTGCTGAGGGGAGCAGCGGGTGAGACAGGAAAGGTCTGCTGCACCATGTGGGTCACCTCCCTGACCGGGGATCCAACTCATGCTGCAGAGGCTGTGGACAGTTTCACAGCACTATGTCTTAACCCCTTGTGCCACCAGGGAGGCCCCCTTAACTGCAGTTTTCTTGCCTCTCTCTCTTTCAGAGACTCAGGCTGCCCCCACCCACCCTGAGGGCAGAGAAGCATCCTTCTGTGACAGGTACATGACAGGTATTTGTACCTGTAATAGGTGTGCTCTGTGACTTGGACAGAAAGATGCAAGATAAAGAACTCTCAACTACGACTCCTAGGCAGGAACTGCAGCAGAGGGAAACCAAAATGCCAAAAGCCTCCAGCAAATTCAAGTACACAGCTCACAGCTCTAAGAATGTATCCATGAAGCTTGTCCCAGAAAAGAAAACTCCCAACCCCCTCTCTCCCCCTACTCTGGCAGTGACCAGCTCTCTGGGCAGCTGGAGGTCCCATCCTCTCCACCTTCACCTGCTGCACTCCAGAATTCAGAGCTCTCCTGACTCGCCCACTGCTCCCCTCAGCAGTGTACTTTGGTCAGTCTGCCTGTTCTGTTCCCCACTGTCTCTGGTGAATCCTCCCCCGCCAACACACACACACACCCCTGTGGCCTGTACCCCAGCTCTTGAATGCATAAATAAAAACAAATCTTTAAAAAAAAAAATTGTTGGGCCTCCCCGGTGGCGCAGTGGTTGAGCGCTGGGTTGCAAAGCTGCACGCAGCCTCTGTGGCGCCGGTTCGATCCCTGGCTGCTCCCCGGCCACTGGAGGAGGGTCCCACATGGCGCGCAGACCTCTCCTGTCGCCCGCTGCTCCCCTCAGCAGTGTACTTCGGTCCTTCTGCCTGCTCTGCTTCCCGCTCTGGTGAATTCTCTCACCCTCCCACGCTTCTGACTGTACCCAGTGCATGTATAAACAAACAAACAAACAAACAAGCAAACAAATAAATAAATAAACATGCCTCTATAAAAAAAAAAAATTAAAAAAAAAAAAATTGTTCCAGAAGGCAGAGAAAACACTGAAAACACCAAGGATGGGACGCTTATCTGCAAGTGGCATGTGCTAGCAGATCATGCTGTTCCTCTACTTCCTAAGCAAGAACTACTCTAATTTCTATGCAATAAACCCAGCTCTCATGAGAATATACATCTCCCAAATCCCAGAGGCTTGTGCTTTGAAGATTTGGGCCTGTGGTCGTGTTATGGAGAGACTGCTAAAGACCCATACATCATCCATGGGGAAAGCCCTGTAAAAAGTCAGTGAACACCGGTAATAGCAGTAGTCTCCCCACTAAACCTCCAACATAAGGGCTGTGATCAAAACCTGGCTCCCCAAAGCTGAGACTCTCTAGTCTCACTGCTATGTGGCAATTCATCTAAAGTTGAAACTTGTAGTGAGAGAGCTTTTTACAGCAGAAGCAGCTATCAGGTCTCCCTTAACTCAAAAACTTTGCTCCTCAATTCTTAGTTACCTCCTCTTTTCCTCCATCTCCTTATTTCAGTCCTTCCATAAGGGTCAATTCTGCTGCTTGTCAGGGGAGGTGGGAAAAGGTTTTACAGTAGATTCTAAAACTGAGCATCCTCAATACCTACAGCAGTGCCTGTCTGGCACATAGTAGGAACTCATGGGTATCTTCAACAAATCAGAACTAAATTTATAGCAACAAGACTATAAGTCTGTCTTCTACCACCAGGAGCAAGCCTGCCAGCTTGAATCAGTGGCGGCGGTGGTGATGGGTGAAATATGAAATGAAGGAATATTGCATTTCCACATCCATCAACTTAAAGCATAGTATAAGTGTCAATAGCAGCATCAAAAATATTTTTTCAGGCTAATTTTTTTATTTTCTTATTCACTAATTCCCTTTAACACTGGGCCTCCCCTGGTAGCACAGGGGTTGAGCACTGGGCTACAAAGCTGCCCTCAGCCTCTGAAGGCCGGTTTGATCCCCGGCCACCAGCGAGGGTCGAGGGTCCCACATGGCGCACAGACCTCTCCTGCCGCCCACTGCTCCCCTCAGCAGTGTACTTCGTCAGTCTGCCTGCTCTGCTCCCTACTCTGGCTCTGGTGAATTCTCTCACCCTCCCATGCTTCTGACTATACCCAGTGCCTGTATAAATAAATAAGTCTTAAAAAAATTCCCTTGAACACATTAGCTGAGCTGAAGTAACATGTTTTGTTTTACGCAATAATTACTTATTGTTTGGGCCTCCACTGGTGGCACAGCAGTTGAGCGCTGGGTTGCAAGGCTGCCCGCAGCCTCTGCAGCGCCGGTTCGTTCCCTGGCCGCCAGTGAGGGTCCCACAAAAAAAAAAATAATAATAATAATAATAATAATAACTTATTGTTTTATTAACTAAAGTCTATACTCAGTTTGTACTTAGTGGCTTATTTCAAGGGTCCTTAGTTCCATCTGGCTGTGACAACCTCTCAGACTACAACCTTGACAGGACTGGTGTTCTGTGGGCTATTCTTCCATTCAGATCTGTGGGGTCTATACAATGTTTTTCTCACAGTCAGTCTGGATGGGGTACTCTGGGAAGGGTAACCACAGAGGTGAAGAGCCCTTCTCGCCCATCCTATTAAGGGCACATGTGTTCTTTATTTTTAAGTCACAGGAAATACTTCTCCCATCAGCGAAGCCCATCAAGCTAACAGGAGCACTCTGAAGAATGTGTCACTGCCAGATGTTATTGTTACCTTGGAGACACATCTGCATCCTTGGGAACTTATACTTGGTTTTATTTAGATTTTATATAAACACTGCAATGTTTTCACTTCAAAGGTGAATTCTTTAAATAACTATTTGTAAACTCATTTTCTGTTGGGATTGTCAGCCCCTTTAATCTCTTTGCTGAAGGTGCTGCCGATCCAGGGCACTCAAAGAAAGTCTCACCCGCATTCTGGAATCTGGAGTATTCATTCAATGGGTTTACCTCTCATAATCCAGGGCCTGGCGGTCTGCTCCTGCCTGGGGAGCTCTTCAAACTACTCTTGTGAGAACCCAGCTGACAAGCAAAGGAGTTTCTCAGTGCCTCTGGAAGCATCGTTGAGTTTCAGTTCCAAAGCATGAGGCTAAATCCTACTTTCAGGGCCTCCCTGGTGGCACAAGGGTTAAGTTAAAACCTATGAAGCTAACAGCAGCCTCTGCAGCACAGAGTTCGTTCCCACAGGGCACATGCAGCAAATGTTGATGCTGCTCCCCTCAGCAGTGTATTTCTGTCAATCTGCCTGTTCTGATCCCCACTCCGTGTCTGGTGAATCCTCTCACCCCCACCCATCTAGCCTGTACCCCAGCTCTTGTATGCATAAATAAATCTTAAAAAAAATAATAATAATAATTCTACTGGGCCTCCCAGGTGGCGCAGCAGTTAAGCGCTGGGCTTGCGAGGCTGCCAGCGCCCTCTGCACCGCCGGTTCGATTCTGGGCCGCGGGCGAGGGTCTCATATGGCGCGCAGACCTCTCCTGCCGCCCGCTGCTCCCCTCAGCAGTGTACTTCGGTCCTTCTGCCTGCTCTGCTCCCCGCTCTGGCTCTGGTGAATCCTCTCACCCTCCCGCGCTTCTGACTGTACTCAGTGCTTGTATAAATAAATTTAAAAAAAAAAAAAAACCCTACTTTCAGTCACCTGTCTCAGGTCTCCTCATGAGGGACAGAGGCAAAGCAAAACTCAGCTCCAGCTGCACTTCTCAGATCACAAGAGCGGTGTGAGGTGTAAGCACCCGGAAAAGACTCAGGAGGCCCACTTGGGTTTTGTTTCGTTTTGTTTTTAAATCTTCTTTGTGTTCTCCTCGCATGGAAGATCGCGTATCGGAGGGTTCACGTCTAAACCAGGGATCAAGGCCCCCCCAGAACCGCAGCCTCAGAGAAGCGGAGATCCCGCCCGAAAGGCGCGCCGCTCCTGCCTCCGCGCCGGCCTGCGCCCTCGGGGGCGCGCAAGCAGCAGGTCGGGCACCCCCGGGGGGCAGAGCGCGGGCCGGGGCCGCGTCTCCCTCTGGAGGGGCGCTGGGCCCCCGCCCGATCCGGGCGCCCCGACAGCGGCGGGTGCCGGCGACGCGCCGCGCGCGCCCCACCCCGAGGCCGGCCGGCGGCTGCAGGCAGGGGAGGCAGTGGGCGCCCGGCGAGAACTCGGCCGCGGGAACCCCAGACACCGAACGGGGCCCGTCCAGTCTCCGGGGCGCGAGGCGGCGCCGGCGCCGCGGCTCCGGGCTGTGCGCGCGGGCGGCCCCGGCCGCCTCCGGAGCTGCGGGAGGGCGGGCGGGCGGGCGCGCCGGGCGGCTCTGCGCGTCCACGCCCGCGCGCCGAGGCCGAAGGCTCCCCGGCCTCGCAGCCGCCCCTCCGGGGTGCCAGCCGGTCCCGGGGGCCGACGGCGAGCGCCCGCCGGGCGCCCCAACTTGCCGCGGCTCCCCCGGCGCGGCGCGGCGGCCGCTCCCTGCGCCCCGCCCCCCCGCGCAGCCCGGGCCCCTCACCTCGCCGCTTGGCGCGCACGATGCCCTTCTTCTGCAGCACGAACGTGGACCCGTTCACGAGGCTCGACACCACGGCCACGCCCAGGCCGAGCGACACGGCGGCGGGGCTCGGGCTGCGCGCCCCCTCCCCGGCCGCCGCAGCAGCCGCCGCCGCAGTCCCCATTCCGCCCGCGCCGCCCTCCGCGCTGCGCCTGCGCGCCGGGCCGGGGGCGGGGCCGAGACGCGGCCCCGGCGGGCCGGCCGCGGGGGGCGGGGGGCGGGGGCGGGGGCCGGGCCGGAGTGGGGGAGGCAGAGCGCGGAGGGCGCGGGTGGGGACTGGGCGGGGGCGGGGACGGGCTCCGCGGGCCGGCTGGGGGGGGAGGGGAGAGGAGGGAGGGGGAGGGGGAGGGGGAGGGGGAGGGGAGGGGAGGGGCCGGGCCCGGCTAGCCGGGACGCCTCTGTGGGGGAGGTTCCGGGGACCCAAGCAGCCCGGACGGGGGAGGGGGGACGGTTTCGGGGTACTCGAGCCTGGACCTGAGTGTGTGTGTGTGTGTGTGTGTGTGTGTGTGTGTGTGTGTGTGTGTTGAGGGGTGGGGCGGGCTCTGGGGCTCTGGGGATCGCGAGGCTGGTACTGGCATGTGTGGGTGAAGAGGGCTCTGGTACAGGGATGCGGATTTGGGGGTGCAAAGACCTAGGACTGCGGAATCAGGAAAGGGAGGAGGAGGGGGCTCGGGGCTGGCGCCGAGAGGGTTCTGAGAATCCCGGGGCGTGGCCTGGAAAGAGGCAAATGGGGGCGTTGCCTGGGGGAGGCCGTGGGGGCGACCCGGGGTTCCGCTGTTGCGGGAGGGGGTCTAGGTTCTGTGGTCCTGGGGCGCCACGGCCCCGGCCTGAAGGAGACCAGTGGGGAGAGCTAGTGAGGAGAGCGCCAGGGGGAAGGCAGGCAGGAGGAGGCTGTGATGGAGAAAGCTGCAAGGAGGTCATGTGGGGCGCTAGGGTTTCAAGATTTAATAAAATACGGGATGCTTAATTAAGTTTGCATCTCAGGTAAACAATAGATAAGTGCTTTTTTTTTTTTTTAAGATTTTTATTTATTTATTTATACAAGAGCCGGGTACAGGCCAGATTCGCGGGAGGGTAAGAGGACTCACCAGAGAGAGTGGGGAGCAGAACAGGCAGACTGGCTGAAATACACTGCTGAGGGGCGCAGCGGGCGAGACAGGAGGGGTCTGCTGTGCCATGTGGGACCCTCGCCAGCGGCCAGGGATGGAACTGTAACAGGGTGGTCCCCAGGAAAGGGGGAGGTTCCAGCTTCCCTGCCCCACCCAAGGAAGGGTGGAGCGGAGCAGGAAGAGGAGAAGCAGAAGAAGAGACTAAGGAAGGAAGGAAGCAGGATGGAGCCAGGAGACCTGGAGGAGGCGCATGGAGCCTAGAGACACGTAAAGAAACTGCGCTTGTCTTTTGGTCGTGGACTGGGTGACACAGATGTGGGTGAGACCCGTGGGGAGGTGACCATGGCAGCTTTTATCTTGATGTTGATTTTGCTCTTTTCCTTCCGGGCTTGTCCGGTTGTTTGTGACCCTTTGCTGTGGGTCCCCACTGGAAGATGCTTTAGACTTGTAGCAGGCTTTGGGGCCTTGTTCTGGGCCAATCCCATTTGGATGGACTTTTACCCACGAGGGGACGGGTAACTTTGGGTGCTTCATTTAGAAACTAGACTCTTTGCCTTACCTGTATTGTTTCCTAGTTTTATTAAAGTTCCTTCCCATTAAAGTCTCCTATGTTTTGTGTTGATGCGGCGGATGGCAGAACCCATGTAGAATAGGCAGGTTTGCGGGGTTTGGGCTGCCCCTCTCCCTGTCCTATAACAGAACCAGGGATGGAACCGGTGCTGCAGAGGCTGCGGGCAGCTTCACAGCGCTGTGCTCAACTGCCACCAGGGGAGGACCCAACAACCGATAAGTTTTTATCAGCCGGAATTCCCATGCAATATTTGGGACCAGCAGTGTGCCCAGAGGATACAAACCTGCCTGGGCTCACCTTCCTTCCAGAGCTTGGGAGGCCAACAGGAGGTGGACATTTTAATTGTGACCACTGAATGAGGTGAAGTTAGCTACCACAACACTGGAGCTGTGAACTTGTGATCAACTTAATTTCCTCAATGATTTTTAATAAAACATATCAAAATTACAGAAAGTGTGTAAATAGTTATTTAAAAATGACTCGATCCCACAGCACTAACCTAATTATTCTTAGGTGTTCTCCCACAAGTATATGTGTGTTTTTACTTGTTTCCAATAATATACAAAATTTCCTGTTTATAATCAATTTCCATGTTGCTACTGTTGACCAATAGAGGTAACTGAGGCTAGCTCAAAATTGTCAAAAAGAGGAGTTTATTTGGGTATACCAGAAGGTTTATACTATGGATCAAGCAAACTGTAGCAAGCTACAGGTGGGTCCACATTGAGGGTTTGGGATAGACTGTATTAATGGGCAAGGAATGTAAAGAGGAGACAGTGGAATTAGAGTCTGTTAAAATCAAAAACAAAGGAAGTCCAACCCTGAAAATTCCCTAAGAAGAAAAAAAAAAAAAATAAAGGTTAACCAGGTTATTTTTTGCGATCAACCTGACCTGGACCATTTCTTGTTTATACTTCTGAGAACCATAAGTAAAATTTGCAAAGTTGATATGAAATTCTGAATGGATAAAATTGGTTCAAACAGGTTTTTACGGGGTCTCCCTGGTGGCGCAAGGGGTTAAGCACCACACTATGAAGCAATTCGCAGCCTCTGCCCCATGAGTTCGATCCCCAGCCAGCCAGGGTGCTACCCACATGGTATAGCAGACCTCTCCTGGCTCTCCCGCTGCTCCCCTCAGCAGTGTATTTCAGTCAGTCTGCCTGTTCTGTTCCCCACTCTGTCTCTGGTGAATCCCCTCACCCCCGCACCTCTGGACTGTACCCCAGTTCTTGTATGTATAAATAAATAAATCTTTTTTAAAAAAGTAATATAAAGAAGCAAAGCACATGAGGAAACAAAACACAACAAAAATAGCACTTAGACTCTGACAACAAAATGGTGGCTACCAGGATGTGAAGCGGGTGGGAGGAGGTAGGAATGAGTGGAGGGGTTTGACTGGATTGTGCTGAATGATTATAGAGCTTCTTTGGTGGTGGATGGGGTAGGGATGTATTCCTGAAACTTACATAGTATTACAAACCAAAGATACAGCAATTAAAGAAAAAAGAAATATAGTATTTTCTATCTGGTTCTTCTCAGAAGAAAATTTGCTGTCCCCTGCATGATTAACCATGCTGGCAGTTTGCTGCCCCCTGGTGAAGTATATGCTCTGCCAGGTTCCCAGCAGTTGAGAGGACGGACTGCTGTGGGCTCACCACTGCCTAGTTCTCTGGTGATTTCTCTCAGAGGTAGAAGGAACCTAGTCAGAGTCCCTTTGTGCAGCCCTCAATCAAATGATTCCTTCATAAATCGAATTCTCTTCTATTTTTGAGTTGTTGATAAATAGAAATAACATTGGTCTTTAAATATTGATCTTTATTCTAGCAATTTTTCAGAATTTATTAGCTCTAATAATTTTTCATTTTTAAAATTAAAAAAAATTAGTTCCCACTCTCTAATAATTTTTTGTATTTCATAAGTTTCCATATAATCTGCTAATAATTTACTTCTTTTCACATAAGTTTCCCTGCCTTTCATTTCTTTTTCATGCCTATTTAGCCCAGCTAGAATCTCATATTGAATTTGTTGAATAGAGGTAGCAAAAGCAGATATCCTTGTCTTATTCCTGATCTTAGGAGAAAAGCTTACAGTCTTTCAACATAACTATAATGCTGAATATGTTTTTTGTAGATGTCCTTTATCAGGCTGAGGAAGTTCCCTTTTAAAAAAAAAAAAGATTCAACTATCTTTACAAGAACTGGGGCACAGGCCAGATGCGCAGGAGTGTGAGAGGACTCACCAGAGACAGTGGGGACCAGAACAGGCAGATTGACTACTGAAGGGAGCAGTGGGTGAGACAGGAGAGGTCTGCAGCGCCATGTGGGCATCTCCCAGGCTGGCCGGGATCAACCTGCACTGCAGAGGCTACGGAGAGCCTCACAGTGCTGCACTCAACCACCTGCACCACAAGAGAGGCCTGAGGAAGTTCCCTTCTATACTTAGTATAGAGGTTTGTGTCTAATCATTTCTAAGCAAACTATAGCAAGCTACAGTGTCCGGTGGGCCCATTTGACATTGTCAAATGCTTACTGAGATGATCAATAGGGTGCTTTCTTTCCCTCTCCCCATGAATAAGGTGTTTTATATATCTTTTTTTTTTAAGATTATTTATGCGTACAAGAGCTGGGGTACAGGCCAGAGGTGCAGGGATTCACCAGAGAGAGAGTGGGGAACAGAACAGGCAGATTGACTGAAGTACACTGCTGAGGGGAGCAGCATGCAAATTAGGAGAGGTCTGCTGTGCCATGTGGGTTAGCTCCCTGGCTGGGGATCGAACTCATGCTGCAGTGGCTGCAGATAGCTTCATAGGTTGTGTCCTAATTAACCCCTTGTGCCACCAGGGAGGCCCTGTTTTTTATATCTTGAAACAACCTTTCAAAGCTGGAATAAATCCCACTTCAGATATGTACTTTTTTAAAAAATAGCTGTATATGGTTTGCTAGTATTTTGTTGACAATTTTTGCATCTTTATTGAGGGATATTGGCTTATGGCTTTTTTGTGATGTATTTGAACGGTTTTGGTATCAGGATAATATTGACCTTAACTCAGGATAATATTGATGAGTTGGGAAGTGTTCCCTCCTCTTCTGCTGTTTTTTGAAAGAATTTGTGAGGTATTTGTGCTGATTCTTCTTTAAATGTTTGTAAAATTCACCAATAAGGCTATCTAGTCATGAACTCTTTGAGAAGTTTTTTGAATATTAATTCAATCACTTTGCTTTTAATAGTTCTACCCAGATTTTTCCACTCTTGAGTCATTTTAAGGTTTTTTTATATCTTTCTAGGAATTTCTCCATTCCATGTAGCTTAT